CAGAATTTTTCATCGTCAACTTCGTGAAACAGGTTCGTTCCATATCACCAGACATGAAGCTGGTCAATGAAGAGCTGTACGCAGTCCAAGCCTGGAAGAAAGCATCTTGAACGTTGTGGCTTAAAGACCCGAGTCAAGTAAAGAGCTGTTGCTCAGCACGTAGGTGTGAGGCATCAGATGATTTGTAGAGTGTTAAATGAAAATCGCTTACATCCCTTCCATTTTCAGAGAGTACAAACTTTGAATCCGGCAGTCCTCTCCCCCTGAACTTTTACCAGTGGGTGGTACAGCAATGTGCGCTGTAGCCGCACTGCATAGCTAATGTACTATTTACAGATGACGCGACGTTTACACGTGAGGGTGTTTTTGATGCGCACAATTCCCATGTGTGGGTAACCGAGCATTCCCATGCAACGCGACCACATGCGTATCAAACAACGATTCTGTTTGAAAGCGTGAGCTGGTATTGTCAATGACTTTTTAATTGGCCCATACCTACTACCTACGCGACTTAATGGCGAATGTGATCTTATTTATTTGGAACAGGTGTCCCCAGAACTACTGCAGAATGTTCCTATCACCAGGACCGAATTAAGCGTGCGCGGGGCCCTAGGCCATTCTAATTTTTGGGGCTCTTCGATTAAGTTGTTTTTCTCGTATATTTTTAATTTATTCAATTATAAAAGTATTTATTTATCTTTTCATTTAAGAAAGCATATTTAAAATTAAAATAAATAATAATGAATTAAATTTCACTTTATTTTGTTGAATTACAGCTAAAAAATAATCACAACATTTTGAAAAAATTTGAATATATATTTTAAATTGATTTTTTTTAAAAAATCATTGTTTTTCTTAATTTTTTTAAATTTATTTTCAAAAAATCCATTTTAAAGGGGCCCCTAATCATTGGGGGCCCCAGGCCATGGCCTAGTCTGGCCTAATGGGTAATCCGGCACTGCCTATCACCATTCATTACCGCATGTGGTTTAAACATGATGGTGCGCCAGACCACTTCAGCACTGACTTGTGCTCGCACTTACCTGAATACCACGTTTGGGGCACGATGGATTTGGCGTGGTTGACCAGTCTCCTGGCCACTCCGATCTCCCGATTTATCGAGGCTCGATTTCTTTTTATGGAGACATCTGAAGAATCTTGGTTAGGCGACCCCACTTGACTCATATCAGGATCTCGTTGCTTGAATATCCGAAGCTGTTGCGACGCTTTCAAACATGTATCGCTAATGGGCGATGTAATTTTGAACAGTTATTATAAACATTACACTTGTCAACGACGCTTTCAATAAATACTTTGTCTTCCCGTTCGTTTCTTTTTTTTTTCCTTTTTTTGTGCTTGTGACTCACCGCGTCACTTGCGCCCATACATTTCTGTACAATAAATGGTTGTTACAATTTCCTGTACCTACCCATAAAGTTTGTACCATGAATTCGAGATCACCCTGTATATAATACTTGAATATGAAATTAGAAAATAAGTGTAAACTGAACGGAAACATAATAAGATCCTGAACAAAATAAGTTACATTTTACAGGGTAAAAGATTGTTATATGGAAAAAAATTCAGTGTCTTACAGCAAATTTTACGTACGAAACTATGCTATTATTTTAACAAATTAAAGTAAGTTCTTTATACTTATTTGTTCATCAATTAAGTATTTGTAAGTACTTTAAGATATTTTCTTATGTTTTAATGAATTAAAAAAAGTAAAAAGTGAGTTAAAAAATAAATCATCAATAAATTAAAATTTGATGAACATTTCGAAGTCACGCATGAAACTGAAAGGCAAAAGCCAAAAGCTTACAAAAACGAAATAATAGGAATTCCATCGACAAAAACGGTTTTAACAAAGAAAAAAAACTTTAAGTAGCCGTACTTTTAAGTTTTTATTTCTTAAAATCTATTCGATCAAACATTTTCAATTTTATTATTAAAAGTTGTATAACTTAATAAGATGAAAATGTGTATGCTTTATATATTCAAAATAATATTCAAAGTATGCCTTATATATTCGAAGTATATAATTCAAAAAATTTTCATTTATCATTATATTAAATAATAAAAGGAAATATGAAATATTTATTTAATATAAAGTTATATTTTAAATAAATATTGATAAAAAAATCTATTTTTGTGATCATTTTTAAATTAACCAGTTTTGTAATTCCTTGCTTAATTTTTTTTATATGTAGTTTCACAAATATGGTGAAATACGAAAAAAGTAAACTTATTTAACGTTAAACTTTTCATTACTTTCCTGACGAATCGAACCAATTAAAACCTCATTAGGATCCCTTTTTCCATATTGTGATTGATTCTCACACTTTGAGGATCAGAAAACTGAATCCTGAGGAAAAAAACAGTTAACTCTGAGAAAGTTCTTTTTGTCTGATTTTATACCATGATATATCGTCTGCTGTAATTAATTAACCTAATCAACCCTACTAACCATTAAGACAGGCTTTTAATGCATGGAAATACGATCATTTCATCAAAAGTTATTAAGGTGTTCCATTTTTTATATTGTACTGTGTACTGTGACCTCCAAAAAATGTCCACCGTAAAAAAACCACAGTAAATGCTTTTTTATCTAATAATCAGATTGTCACGCATTGTGTGCTAATATTAAAAAAAATTATTTTGGAAAGAATGACCTTTCGAAGTTATTTTAAAATCCAAACCAAGTACGAAAATAAAATAAAAATTTGTTCATTTTAAGGTGATAATGAGTATTCAAAGTCTTAAAAATCGGTCTAAATTTTGATTATTCGCACCTTAATATTAATAATAATCTTTATGTCTTGGGCCTTTTTTAAAGTAATACTTAACCTGAAAGAGGCAAGTAAGTGTGTGAACGTTTGAAAAACTCGGTCTTATGTTATACCATTAAAAAGAATAAAACTATTTGACTAACCAATTGTTGTTCTGCAGAAAAAAAAATTTTTTAATTCTGGGAAACACAGAACCAATTTGTTAATAGTAATAGTATTGTAGTTAATTGTTTTATTAGTTCTTATGAAGCTGTGGATAAATAGTTAAATATTAATAATTTTGTGGGAACTTTTTTTAATTATATTACAGATTATTGGATCTGCTTTCTGCACTCATTAACTACATAAAACAAAAAAATTGAACATGTGGTGAAAAAACGTGCCTCATTTCTTAAGACCTCTAAAAACAAAATGGAGTTGAAACACAGGTTAATTAACTTTATAAACTATCTGTGTGAAGAAAGTGAATAACTTTATTGCCTGCTTAAACGAAAGATAGCAGGAAGTATATTAGCTCCATTAAGAAAAAGTTTATTCTGAAGTGTGACTTCTATAGTAATATGAGGTTTTGCATTATTATGCTAAAGAATAAGATTTTACATTCACCATTGTTTATTCTGTAGTCGATCTTATCTGATACACAATATTAATTTGTTGACAACAACATTGTGCTATTACTGTAACTAGAAGAATGCAGGCTCGACGTAGAGAATCTGGAGTGTGGCTTTTTAATTATGAGGCTTTGCATTATTATGAGATTTTACATTCACCGTTGTTTATTCTGTAGTCGATCTTATCTGATACGCAATATTAGTTTGTTGACAGCAACATTGTGCTATTACTGTAACTAAACGAATGCAGGCTCGACGTAGAGAATCTGGAGTGTGGCTTTTAAATTATGAGGCTTTGCATTATTATGTTAAAGAATAAGATTTTACATTCACCATTGTTTATTCTGTAGTCAATCTTATCTGATACACAATATTAATTTGTTGACAATAATACTGTATGTCATGCTCCTAGCTTATGAAGAAATATGTAATGCCGAAACCCAGTCGATATGAATTCCGCATCCGGCTCGCACCGACCACAGTGCTGACATGAAAATATCCTCAGTGGTAGACGGATCATGGGTTAGAATCCCCTTGCCATCAGACGAACCATGGGAGGTTCTCGAGGTCTTCCTCTCCATGTAATGCGGGTTAGCTCCATCAAAAAATCCTCCAGGAAGGCAAATTTCTCCCAATACTCGATCCAAGAGTTCCCTTCTTCTGGATTGGGTTCAAAATTGCAAGGCTACGGAGTTGAATATTAGTAGTCGTAAACTCATAAAATTTCGTCGGCTGTTCAACAACGGTTTTAAAATAAAATATTTATTCCCCTAATCTTTTGAGCTATGAGCTATGTCACTTTTCCACAAATACTCTGCTTCCAGAGTGGGCACTCCATTTCCTCCTTTCTGGCTGTTATCTTGAAATTTTTTTCTTGTTTCATTTTGATAGGGGGGGGGGGTAAAAATAATAACATGACTGAGCTGTAATTCAGAGTTATTACATTTGAATATATGAGCCAAATTCCAAGTGGTATGCGCCTGGACATTGAACGAGGGTTTCAGTTTATCCCTTGTCCGAAAGAAGATCCCCACAAATTGAGGAAAACGAAAATTATGAAATCGTTTGGCGAAATCAAAGTTCGAAGTGGCACTGTCACTAAAAGCAGCATAATAAAGAATGTCAACCTTGTGCATGTACTGAAAGTAGACAAAAATACTGACGTTTTTTTTGTGGCAAGAATGATGCATGAAGCATCAGAATTGTTTTTTCGATATCAAAATAAGGTACGCTGAAATCCACTACAATTGACCTGTCTTCGGTGATACCTACCATGCTGAATGCTATGTTAACTTCATTCCAACCATTCCTGTTCAGTTTTCTGATTTATCCGTTAAAGTGTTCACAATATAATGCTTTTTCTGAAAATCAGAGTTGGTAAGATTTTGAAAAGTTGCAATTCAAGCAAATTCCCTCAAATGAATTGAAGTGTTTTGAAACTAATGTTCAGTTATACAAGTAGATACATCATAAAAATCAGGTCATGGGGTTAAAATACGATTTAGTTACATCGAATTTCAAAACTTATAATAGTAATGTGCTTAGAAAAAGGTGACAGTGAAGGCTGTATGAGCAAAAAGTCATTTGCATATCAGGTTTAGCGATGTTTTGAACGCAACCATCGACTGTAGGTGATTTCCATTATTAAAGCAATAATACCTGCCGTCCAGCCAATACCAATTATAATAAACACTCCATTTAAATTTGATAATCCTAATGGTAGTGTTAATGTACTCTGAGAATGATCGATGTTTAAATTTCTTCTTAATTCCAATTTAAAGCGGAAATCGTCTACGAATTTATTATATAAGCCACCACTCAAAATTCGAAGTAAGATTGTATTGAAGCGTTCTTTGCAGCAAAATGCTTTCCTGATTGCAATCCCGTAATGAAAACTTCCAAAAGTGTCCTTCGAATAAAAGTATTTTTCCGGTGGTCCAATAGACACGCGAAATAGATCAGGTGAACCAAGTATTGCTACATGTTCCGAAACTTTTTCGTTGTTAAGAGTATAGTAATACCATTTATTCTTTTTAATGTATTCTCCTAATCCTTTTAAATGCGGTACATTGCTTTTCATCAAAATATCTACATCCCCAGTTATCCCCGCTGATAGACACTCCATTTTCCCCTCCCTGACAGCGAGATAGAGATCCTTGAAGTCTTTTATTTGTTTCATTCTGATCGGAGATGTCAGAAAAGATAACAGGACCGAGCTGTAACATAAAATTAGCACGTATGAATAAAGGAGCCAAATTCCAAGTGGTATCCGCCTGGACATTGAACGAGGGTTGTAGTTTACTCCTTGTCCGAAGGAAGATCCCCACAAATTGAGGAAAACGGAAATGATGGAATCTTTCGGTGAAATAAAATTTCGAAATAGCACTGACACGAAAAGCAGTACAATAAAGAATGAAATCCACGTGAGTGCGCTGAAAGGATACGCGATTGCTGATGTATTTGATAAGAACGGAGCATGATTCACCAGAAACGTTTTTTCAAGATTGAAGTAAGGTGCGCTGAAGTCTACAACTTTTGAATGCTCTTCGGTAATACCTAGATAGCTGAATCCCATGTCAGCTTCATTCCTTTGCAGCATTCCAAGCATTCCAGTCCAATTTCCTGATGCATCCCTTGAACCGTATGATAAGTCTGAGGGAACAAGAATCTCATATTCGAAATTTAATGACCGTGCCAATAGTTTTATAAATTCTGCTTCAATTCCGGAAGTAATGGTAACATTGTTGATTCTTTTAACTTCTATGGATTTGGTCACGGGTAGGACTGCGATTCTAAGTTTCGAGGGAAAATATGCCACCATTTTTTACAAAATCCTTTTAGGTCTAATTTCAAAGCAAGTTCTTGTTGTTAAATCAGTTCTTGAAGACTAATAGAGTATAGAGATGGTACGCTTGCAAGAAAAGTTGGCAGTTCCTCTCAAGATAAATGAATTCTTTGAGGAAATGTTTTTCTACTTGGAATGAGTTTGTGGAATTTACGTTTGTATCTAAGTTTTTGTATTTATTCAGTAAAAAATTTGTCTGGAGTCTTTAAGTCAATTTTTTAAATCTGACACAGAATAAAGAATCTGAGAGACAAGAAAAAATTGCTATTCTTCATAAAATGACCAAGTTTTTTTTATTAATATTTGTATGAAATTAGTATTAAATCCGAACAAATTTGGATACTTTCAATCCATATAAAAAATCAGCGTTAATACCCAGGATAATATTAATTGCGAAATTTGTTGGCACACAAGTTAGACCAGAAAAAGTACCTAGACAGATCTTAATGAGAAAACTTTCAGATTCTTAAGAAAAGAAACGAATCGTCACAAAATTGATCGTTCCAAAACAGAATAAAGAGTTTTTACTTTTCTTGAAATCTTTAATGAATGAATAGTTCTATGTAAAGGAATCAATTGGAGGACTTTGCAGACACTTTATGCACCATCTTTTTTAAAAATAAAAGTTAAGAAAATTGAGTGGTAGATCCATTGCTCTGCATGGCAACTTTAACGACTATTTTATCATTCGTGATCGCTTTTTCTTGTTATTGTACAAGTTAAAGTTAGCTTTTACGCCAAAACAACCTGCTCTTCATGATTTATGCACATATCTGTATAAGACATCCTCGAAATAATTTAAATGCGCGAGACATTAAATAAAATTATGGTGTCAGTTTTTATTTTTGAGTTTTAAAACTTTTAATCGATATTGTTGGTTAATTATCGATAGGAAAACAATGGGCGTGGTTATTTAATGATAGATTAATCGGGAATAGGGGATAAAAACAGTACTATTATGTTTCATTAATGAAAGTTTCAAGATCATTCAAAACAACTTGTTATTGATTTTTAACTCATTTAAAACTAGCTATAATGATATACAGATTATGATATATAGATCAGTATATATAATTATTAACTCATTAAAGCTAGCTATATGCTTATTTAAATATAAAAATATTCGATCTTCAGCAATCTGTTTTTGTGATGATATTCTCACAATATCGTAGATTTTACATCAAGATTCTCTTTTTTATGTACTTTAGAAAACATTATTTGATTAAATTTATGAGTTTTTACACTTATAATGTAAAAGATTTTTTTTTATTAATGAGTGTTTTTATAGCAATCCCTATGTTTTTATTAAAATATATTTTAACCAAAATAATAGCGGAATACAAAAGGTGACCTGTGCTTCTGTTAAATATTCTTGCAATTTTATTTGTTTATTTTTGCACTTGTATATTATTATATCTGCGTAACTATGAGTTGGGTCTTTTTCTGGAACAGAAATTAGTTGTTAAGCTTAATGAGTAACAACAATGAATAATAATAAATACAGTAAGAGAAAAACAATTATATTACTGATGATAGTAAACAATTATTTAAGAGTTACATTTATTTCAAGCAGTATTCGGTGAATAGTATGACGCCATTCAATCACAGGGGAAACAATTGTGGCTTGATCCGCTTTTTACAATATATTTATGATTCACATCTATAACAAATTATCTCAATGTTCATATTTTTTTTGCATCTAATGTTTGCCCTTTAGTTTATTTATTATTTTTTTAAATTAAAGTTATAAAATATACTTTCTTATTAATGATTTTTAATTGTGTACAGTTCGTAAAAAATGTATCCTCCTGAAAAAATCTAGTTCTAATGATCGGATTTTAATGAATTAAATGCCGCTCATAAAGGCTCAAAAGGATGTTAATTTAAATATGCTATATCAGTGCAGACAATATTTCAGGTTATGAAATCAGACACAGAAAACGTACTTTCTTCAAATAATATGCCTTTTTTGACGAATTTCGATATTTGACTATCAAAACATGGGGAGGCAACAGCAATCTGAATGCTATTTTCCTGATTGTGGTAGAAATCAGAAAAGAGGTCAAAAGTGTGCGGTCTCTTCAATTTAATTCTAATTTTAGGACAATTCTCCATTTCTAGGGATGTTTGTTCTAAGAAAATTGTTTTAAACGAATCAAAAAATTATAAGTTCAACTTAGAAAAAAAATTACAGTAAAAAAAAGCAATTTTTAATAGTTTAATAAATAAAGATCGAAATAATTTTAAATTGTAAGAAATACAAGGTTATCTATTAGATTACATCATTTACATAAATGTAATAAAGGTTATATCGATAATAATAAAAAAAAATCAAAATTTGAAAGAAATCCGTGGAATAGTTTCAGAGCAATAAAATTTTATGGCTTTTTTGATATGTTATAACTCAAACATCGTTCAAATGGTTTCACTCAAATTTTGTTTTTGTTATTTAAATTTGTATAATCTTAAGTTATGCAAAATTTGGATAGCTCACGATTCATGACTTTTTTTTATGGCTTTTTTGATATGTTATAACTCAAACATCGTTCAAATGGTTTCACTCAAATTTTGTTTTTGTTATTTAAATTTGTATAATCTTAAGTTATGCAAAATTTGGATAGCTCACGATTCAATATTTTTCGATCCTCATAAGATAAAGTAATAAAAAATATATAGAAACCACTATTTTCGAAGAAACGTCTTTAGATAAACAAATTTTATAATTATATGCAAACATTTATCACTTCATTTATAAGCTTTCCTAGATATGGCTAACTATGCAGAAAAGGATATTAACATCTAGGATTCACAACTTTCTTGCCAAAACTACAAATACCATGTTTCCCAGATTTCTACTATTAACCCTCCTCCAATATTTTGATGATCAAAAATTCAAATCCGTTGCTTGCTCGTCGAAAGTACGTTTTTGCAAGTAATTAGCATATTTGAAAATACTCTTTTACGTTGTTGCCAGGTAATAGTCATTCTCGCCACGTCCTCCCAGAATTAGAACAAACGTCTTGGTAACAGATTTGAAAAACAAAACAAGATAATTAAATTTGAGATATTAAGTTTACAAATCTATTTCAGTTGCATTAGTGTCAAAGTAGCTCAAAGGTAATGTTATTTTTTTTTAAGATATTAGATATAAAAAGATTTGTAAAAATAAAACTGATTTTACGTTGGAAGTTGAAAATTTTAAAACTAAAATTATTTGCAATAATTTTTATATTAATTTCATCGATCACCTTTTGGCCCAATTTAAATTTTAAGTTTAAATTTATTATTTGAGATTTACACTGTCCACAATGACTAAACCATAACAGACATTTATATTCATTTATGATGCACCATCTTCAATACAATATTTTGGAAAGATGACTGCTAATGTAGTGGTATTTGAGTACGCAGATCTGTATAGACTTGGGTTTTTATTTAACTTTTTGAATTTATACTTAATTTTTAATTTTTAGTAATTAATTAATAATTTAATATATTTTTTGCTCTCAACTCATAATATTTATAACAGATAGGGGTAATATACACCGAAGAGCCATTACATTATGACCACCCTGCTAATAACATGTAGGACTACCTTTAGCCCTCAAACTGCTAGCACCCTCCGTGGCATTGATTCCACAACGTGCTGATAGGTAGTCTGAGGTATCTGGTACCAAGCGCTCACCCACTAGTCCTGCAATTCCCTCATATTGCGAGCGGCTAGCGTGGCAGCACGAATCTGGTTTTCCAAGTAGGAACACAAATGCTCTATTGGATTAAGGTCAGGTGAATTTGGGGGCCAAGACATGACTTGAAAGTCACTGGAATGTTCCTCGACGATTCGACCCTTATGACATGGTGCATTATCCTGTTGGTAAACACCATCCC